CCGTCCCAAGGCATGTCCCTGTCCTCTCCTCCCTAATGTGCCTCCATGCTTAGTGGAAGGTATTTCTGTTTTCTTTGTGTGTTTTCCCCTCGGCCGGGGGCGGGGGCGACGGATGCTCGGGGCGCAGGTGTGGGGAGCAGGGGCCGCGGACCCGGGCGAGAGCGCGCTGGGACCTAGAGGGGGTCCGGGCCTGGCGAGGCGGGAGTGGGGGGGCGGTGCCCGCTCTGGGAGGCGCGCGGGGTTGGAACCGAGAGGGGCTTGGGGAGGGGGAGGGGTGGGAGAGGAAGGGGCCGCTAGCAGCAGCGTGGGGGAGGGGAGGGGTGCATCGGCGGGAGCCACAGGGGGAGGGGAAGGGGACGGAGGAGCGAGGCACATCCAGGGCCCCCCAATCTCAGCATGGGGTCTGCGCCGGATCCCGGGAAAGGAAGGGGCCCGGTGCGTCTGGGGTTGGCGGCGTTGCCAGGATACCAGCTGCGTTCCACACCCTACCCCCTGCACTTCCTGGCCCTAGCCTGGAGACCTCTGCGTCTCATCAGCAGTTGCCGAAACTGGGGACCAGCTTGCTCCCCGCTTCGCTTCGCGGCGGGGAGGGAGGGATCGGGGGAGGGGCGGTCGCATCTTAACCCCTCCCCCTGCAGGGGCTGGAGGGCAGGGGAGGGCGCCCCCCACCTGGGGAGGGCGTCCGGGGTGAGCGCGCAGGGAGGGACCAGTGGGGGGCTGGGGCCCAGGGGGCGGGGCCGTGAGGGACGCGGCGCGGGGCCCCCCCTCCCACCCACCCCTCTGCTACGTCAGAAGCTCCCGGGCCGGCTCCGAGTCCTGTCGGTGGGGGCAGCAGGATGCTGGTGGCGGCGGAGGGGGCCGGCCGGTGCCTCCGCAGCTCGGCTGACAGGGCCCGGCGGGGCGCGTGCGGCTGCCCAGCGAGCGCCCCCCGCCCCGCGCCTCCCCATGCAGCCGTGGCACTGCCTACGGCGCTTCGCCCTGGCCTGGTGGGAGAGGACGGCGGAGGGCAGGGCGCGCTCTCCCCGGGAGGAGGCCGGCCCGAGGGACGCCGGGGGCCGGGGGGAGGCAGGTGAGCTGCGGGGTCGGGCGCGGGCGAGGAGGGGCTCCTGGGCCGAGCGTGCCAGCCCCTGTCCCCAGTACTGCGGGACTAGGAGGGTCCTGCAAGCCCCAACTTTGAGAGAAGTGGGGTCTCGGAGCTGCGCTGAGGGACTATGGCTGAACCCTTTCAAAAGGCGATGCAGGGCTGGCTGTCTGGGGGAAGGGGAAGCCGACCAGACGGACCTCAGCTTTGTGGTTCCCGTGTCCCTTTGGGTGGGGTTTGAGCACTTCGCTGGTGATGAGGGGTACCTTCCTCTTGACTGGAGAGCCTAGTCTGGGTGACCTTGAGCCGGCTGCTTGGCTAACTCTGTGCCTCAGTTTCTCACATTCCCTTCTCAATCCTTTAGCTGATCTTAAAAAAAAAAATAGATGATGCATGAGATGGAGACTGTCACTGAAGATGTGAGCTGTCATCGCGGTGGCAGCTGGCCTGGTGGTGGTTTTTGGCATGTGTGTGTGTGTGTGTGTGTGTGTGTGTGTGTGTGTGTGTATGGGGGGTAGCTGTGGTGTAAGTATTGGGGTTTGCTGGCTCCGCTTGGTGTTGAGGCCACGCTGAGCAAGTGTGGGACCAGCTTTCACACTGGAAGGACACTCAGGCGGGCTGGGAGCTGTCGGGGGCAGGGACTTAGCTGGTGGCCTGGTATGGAAGCGGGAGATGGGGTTGGGGGCCCTGAGCACAGGGGAGGGGGCTCCAAGAGTAACCCCCAGCTCCCCACCCAGACTGCCTGGCACCCTTGGCAGCAAGTGCCAAGGCTTTGGCCTGGCCTCCTGCCACCCTCCCTTCGGGACAAGAGGGTCTTTGTCCAGTGCCCCCCCTCCTGCCCAGCCGCCCTTCTGAGACGGCTGCTTCTTGGTGATGACCCTCGGGGCTGGGGTGGAGACGCGGGTGGATCCCCTCTGTCTCCGGCTATCAGTGCTCTGGAGATCTCTCTGGAAGGGGCACCCATGGTCTCAACATGGAGTGGAGGGGAGCCCTCTAGGGGAGGGGTCCCGGAAATGAGCCCTTTGGAGACACCCCCAGCCCCTGCCACTCTACTTGCCTTCTTGTCTAATGCAGGGGTCTGGGGTCATAAGCGCTTCAAGGTGTGTAGGGGACCGGCCAGCAGCCAGGGCCTCTCTGATAGGCTGTCTTGCTGTGTTTCCGTCTCTGTCCCTCTGTTCAGAGATCCACCCTGGAAAAAGGGTTTAATTAGAACCATTGATTCTGTCTTTGGCTTGGGGTATTGATCCCCAGAGTGTGGTCAGAGCTGGGCAGTGGGGGTGGCACAGCCGCCGTCTGCCCCGTGCCAGCCTTGGCGATCCCTGCCAAAATTTCAAGTCCTAGAAGTGCTGAGGACGAGGCTTGGGCTTCGTGAGCCTCCAGCCCTTACCCAGCTTGGGGTAGGTCTCTGGGAGAGGAGGGAGGAAGGGTTGAAAATGTGAACTGGGGAGCCATAGTTGGGACTAGAGGAAGGGTTAGTTCATGGGGCTTTCCTCCCGCCTGGTGGGCTGGAAGGGAGACAGGAGAGGGGGCCTACCAAGGGGAGCCTGGAGGATCCTGTGGGTGCTGGGTGGTGCAGAGTCCAAGGGAAGGAGCCACAGCTCGCCATAAAAGCTTCTCTTTCGAGGAATCCCAGGCACTTATCTCCTCCCGGCCCTGGCAAGGTCTGTTTTCTTCCTTTGCATCTTCCAGGCCCAGAGAGGGACAGAGGCCGCCTTAGATGCCCAGCACCCTCAGAACTGGTGGTGGAGCCTGGCTCCCTGCCCTGGAGGCCCTGCATGGGCACAAGGTGCTGAGGATGAGGTCCCTGGCTGCCTCACTCTGCTCCCTAGGGTGGGGTGGGGGGCAGGCTGTGCCCCCAGTCCCCACTGCCCCCACTGCGTGCCACGGGTGGGTGGGCCACGCAGGTGCGGGCTTCAATGAGGTTCTCAGGCGCTCTTTGAAGAATCCCTCCGTGGCTTCCCAGGGCCCATTCGAGCAAAGATAATAAAAATCTGGCCGTCAGCGGGTTTGAAGGCTGCACTCGCTTCCCCTTCTTTCACTGGGGCTCTGAAAAGCGGAGATGAAGGCTTTGGATTCGGCTGGGAAGCAGTGCCTGCCTGCCCCCAGGGAGGGGGGAGGGCGGCGGAGGTGGAAGGGCCGTTTCCTGGCAGCAGGGCCCTCACAGAGGAGGTGGGCAGAGGGGCAGGGGCATGGTCCCTTCTCCTGCCAGGCAGCGTAGGGACCTCACTGTCAGAGCTCCTGCACCCCATCTGGGCCCCACAATTGTCCTCCAGGTCCCCGGAGCCCCAGAGGACCCCCAGCCTGTCTCCCCGTCCACCTGCCCATCTCTGCCGTTTTTTCCCTGCTGGTCTTCCCTCTCGCTGGCCCTCGTGTCCCCGGGTCTGCCCTTCATTCGCTCTCCCATCCGGGCCTGTGCCCCCCTCTGTTCTCCCATCCCCCCTCCCTCTGGCCGCCTCCCCCTTCCTTTCTGTGGCCTCCTCCTGCTTTCTAGGACTGTCTGGGAGGTGGTGAAGCCGGAGGGGAGCGGCCACAGCCGCAGCTCGGAAAAGAAGGGAGGACGGGCTGGCTATTATGGTCTGTCAGGTGCCGTAGCTGTCAGAGTCCAGGCTGAAGGGGCTGCGGAGCGCTCAGGGATGCGTGTGTGCGCGCGCCTGCGTGTGGTACCTCGCCCTGACGTCGTCGGCTCTGCCTCCCCTGCCCAGACGCTTGGGTGACTGCTTCTGTGCGCCCCATTGCTTCTCTTCCTCCCCAGTCTCTGCCTGTACCTCCTGACCCCCAGATGCTGCTGCCGCTCCCGCACCCTGTTCCCCTCCAGCCCCCCGCTCTGTCTGAGGTGCAGTGGGGATCCAGGAAACCTCTGGCCTCCATCTCCCTCTGGGGCTTCCAGCCAGCCAGGCCTTGGGCCCCTCTGCCCTGCTGTGAACCCGTTCAGACGAAAGGTGTGACCACAGCAGAAGAGCAGTGCACGGAGGCCGTCCCCTTCCTCAGAGCCCAGCGCTGTGTGACCTCTAGCCCGTCCCTGGGTTCCTCACCTGTGCAGTGAGGAGGCGGGGCTGGTGATCTTCAAGGTCTCTCCTGACAGCGTGTTGTCTCTGTCTTCTGGGTGATTTGCATGTCTTTTGCATATATTAATAGTGCCCGCCGGAAGGGGGAGAGCACCTCCCACACTGACCCAGGGCACCGCCCACCACTCCCACTCCCCTTGGCCATTGGCCCAGAGCTGGAAGTGGAGGCCCAGGGACCCTTGGGAGGTGGGTGTGGCTCCCCGACCTGGCTCCCATGGGGAAGGAGTGATGGCTTTGGTGGAGGAGACTGCTCCCTTCCAGAGGGTTCAGAGAGGGTCCCAAAGCTGAATTGAAGAACTCAAGGCCAGCCTGGGATAGATACACAGTGAGTTAAGGGCCAGCCAAGGCTACCTGGAGGGACTTCCACGTCACCTGTCCCATCAGGCCAGGCCGGTGTAAAGGTTCGTAGAGAGCCACTGAGCTGTGACAAGACTGAAGACAGGACCCAAACTGCCCTCCACCCCACAGGAGGTCAGGACCAGAGGAGGTGCAGCAAGAGAGATCAAGGTTAGACTCATGGGAGGACTGCCCCAGGGGCAGAGGGGTTTGGAATAATGGGCTTGTTGTGAAGATTAGGTGGAATAACAGCCCCAAACGCCCAGCACCAGGTCTGACCCTATAAACACCTCGTAAATGGTATGAGGAAGGGGGTGAATGTCTGGGAATCCAGCGAAGACCTCCTCTGAGCCTGAGACATAGTGGTTTTAGGGCTTGGCAGAGGATGAGGGGCTGGAAGGGCAGTTCCTAGAAGAGCTCGCTCTCCCATACTGCGCCAGCTGCTCCCCGTCCTGCCACTACCCTGGGCACCCTGCGCTCCTCCTCCGCCTCCGCGAGTGGGCACACAGAGGGTTTGGAGGCCGGAAAGCGGCGGCTCCTCCTGCTCCGAGTCTGCGCAGGACAGTTGGGGAGGAAGCCGGCCCACGCCGCGGCGGCGGCAGGGCGGAAGGAAAGCTGGGGGCTGGGAAGGGGCCGGGAGAACCGAGGGGGCCGGTGCTGCACCTGCGGGCTGGGGGCTGCTCCGACCCTCCCTATGCCTGCTGGGCACCCTCAGGAGTGGGGCTGTCGGAAGGGAGAGAAGGGGCCGGGAAAGCTCCTGTCTGCCCCCTAGGACACAGAGGTAAAGAAATGGCTCGGACCCGTGTAGGGCTGGCGCTGTGTGGCGCTGGCAGCCCCGTTGCCCTCTCTGGTGCTCAGTCAGCTTGGTACAGTAGAGACGGTGGGACTGGGGTTCTTGAAGCTCCCTTCCAGTTGTCGCAGGTCTCCCCACGTCCTTGCGGAGGTCTTGTGTGGCTTGGCAAATGAAGGCTGGCGAGATATTTCCCATTTTGGGCTAAAACAGAAATTTAGAGCAGGGCTGGAAGAGTATTGAGCGTGCACACACACGTGCTCGTGTCCTGCACACGCGCCTCCTGGCCCGAAGGTGCGCCTTGTCTAAACCCAGCCTGCAGCCCAGGGGATGGATTGGGGAATGGCCAGAGGGTCCTGCTATCTCCCCTAAATCAGAAACTTCGACCACCCAGCAAAGCCTCTGCCACCCTCCATTCCGCCCAGGGATAGAAATCCAGTCCGTATTTTCCTCCACACGCCTGTCCAGGCGGCTCAGCTCCCCAGATCCGGCACTCAGGTTCCCACACTGCCGCCGGCTCACCTGGCTGCCTGCATGGCCTGGCACGGAGCATCTGAGCACTGGAGAGGAGTTGGGCTCGCCCATAGTCCCACCTTCGCCTCCGGCCGCATCCTCATCCCAGCCACAGCACGCTGGAGACCCCAGACCCAATCTCACAGAGGAGCCCCTGGGCTCTGACCCCTCCCTCCACGGGCCCCGTAGAGGAGCGTGTGCCCGGCAGGGGAGGCAGGGGGAGCACGTGTCCCGGGGCCCCCCATGATGGTAATTGCAGACGCAGCGTGCATCCCTGCCCTCACCCCAGGCCCTGGCAGCTGCCTCCTTGGGGAAGAATTTGCGGTCACACAGCTCCCTGCAGCCTGTGGACACAGCCCTCTCCTGGGCCCTCCTGCCCGCGGGTCCCCAGTGCTGGCCCTGACGCCTGAGGAGTCCCTCATGGAATCCATAGTGCCTTAGAAGTGGAAAGCTAGGGCTCTGGGGAAGCCAGGGCTGTTAGGAGTGACGCAGACCCTCCCTCTGTTGCCCCACAGGCAGGGGCTTTGAGGGGCTTCCTGCAGGCTCCGCAGTGATGGAGGTGCCAAGGGACTGGGAGGGGCTGGGGACGGCAAGAAGTCACTTGGGTATGAAGTTCAGGAAATCTGGACCCAGCCAACAGCTCCTCCCTTGGCTGGGCACGGTGCCACATGCCTGTAATCACAGCACTCGGGAGGCTGAGGCAGGAGGATGGCCTTGAGCTCAAGGCCAGCCTGAACTAATAGTGAAACCCTTTCTCAAGAAAACAATAATAATAATCTGCATCCATGCCTAGGATGCAGCAGAAAGAAACTGAAGAAAAATCCCTTCCAGCCAATTCCACCGCCCTGGGGAGACTGTTTATGCTGGAGCATGCACTGGAAAGAGGTTAGACTGTAGGCAGAACTTCCAGGAGGGCAGAGCTGAGAGGAGGGAAGGGGTTTACCAGTGGGCTAGGAGCTCAGGGCCAGAGGCAGATCCGGCCCGCAGTCCCAGCCCTGAGGTCCATTCGCAGTGTGGCTTGGGGCAAACTTTTCCCCTCTCTGAAGTGTTGCCTCCTCTGTCACCTGGGGTGTTAGTGGTGGATTCTTAGTGTGGCTGCTGACCCATGAGGTGACTTAGGCAGAATCTCTGGTGCCTTGTGAATATTCAAGAACTAGTCACTCACTTAGCTTCCTCCCCCCTCGCTGTCTGGTTAAATGATGGAAGGGACGGGCGACACCTTTGTATCCTTAGTGCACCTGGGTGGCCCCTGGGTCTGGGGGCAAGAAGGAAGTCAGGGCTCCCTGCCCCTGCCCCATCCACCTGACCCCCACGGCCCTGTCCCGGGGCCCTCTGGGGCCGGATCCATTAGTGAACAATCCTGATTCCTCACTGACTCAACATCCCAACATCTGGGGACGACAGCTGTTTCTCCCTGGGACGCCCATGCCTTGGGTAATCAGTGGGAAGATTGGAAGTGTGAGATTGGCAGTGGCTCCGCCACGCGTGCCCAGGGTACAGATGGGCCGGGCCAGCCAGGGAAGCTGCACCCCAGGGTGCCGGGGCCGCAGCCCCAGGCGGGGGTCTTGATGCCACCCAGCAGCCTGCTCAGGGTAAAGCAAGGGGCGGTGCTGAAGGGAGCACCTCTGTTCAGAAAGGGGGGCGCGATGGACAACTGGGGACCCAGCTGGGGCAGGGGCATGAGTGTGTGAGTGCCTGGTGGCTCCGATGCCGATGCCTGTGTTCCCTTTGGTGCAGGCCGTGGGGGGCCCCAGGGTCGGGGTAGGGGCAGGTGGGGGTTCCTGGGCAGGCGGGCGACAGGGAGGCCAGCACCATGACCGTGCAGGCCCCTCAGACACTGAGCTCCGCCTTGCAGGTTGGGTGGCATCAGATGGGTGCCGCAGACGGCCCTCCTGGTGCTGTCTTCTGGGGTCTTGCGTGGGCACCCCGGGAAATGGTCTGCCCAGTCGGTTCTGGAAGGAGGACCGGGCCTGGTTCCACGACTGTCCCTGCACCCAGCTCTGGGATCCCTGTGTCTTCCATGTTGTCCTGCTGTCTGTCCTGTCTGTCTCCTGCTGATGTCTTTGCCTCTGTCCCTGCTCTTCTGTCAATACCCAGTCTCTGTCCTGCATCCCTTGAGACCCTGGTGACCCCCAAGGGACAGCTCCTGAGGCTCTGTCCTCACCCTGCCCACTCTGGGAGCCCCCGCCCCGTCCGGCCCCTCCGCTGGCCCGTCCTGCCCCCCGGCCGTTCATTCACTCTCCTCCTTTCCTGTCCCTCACCCAGGGCTCCAGCGAGCGGCGGGAGGGAAGCCGGCAGGACTCTGTTCCCTCTGTTTAAAGTCTCCAGGTTAGTAAGCAGGGGCGGCGCTGCCCCTGAGAGCCCCCCACCTGGAGGGCCACAGCTGGGGGAGGGGGCTGTCCCGGCGGGCCTGGCCCTTGCCGGGGGAGGAGACAGTGGACCCTCGACTCTGGGGAGGGCACCTTGCCTGGCAGAAAGCATTGCGCACGTGTGTGCATGTGCGTGTGCGGGTGTGCAAGCGGGGGTGCATGTCAGTGCGTACGCGTGGCTGCAAAGCCCCCTTGTGGTCCAGGACTGGGGACGGGGGAAGAGGCAAGCGTTCCCTGCAGAGGGGCTGGTGGCCTGGGCCGGAGTCCAAGGGGACGCCGTGCTCCAGTGCCGGCCAGAGGTAGGGGCCGTGGACTGGGATGGGCCGCCTCCAGCCCCTGCAGAGGTGCTCAGTGCATAGGCTGTGCAAACCTGGAGAGGAGGTCACTTATTCAGTCACTTACCCGTGGATTCAGTGAAGACCCACCGAGCGCCGCTCCGGGCCAGCCCCTGGCTAGGCATGGAGTCTGCGATGGCCCTGACAGATGACTGTGCTGGGCTTGAGCAGCAAGGGGACGGAGGCCCAGTTCAGCGAGCACAGTGCCGCTGGGCTGCTGACTGTAGGGCCCTGTCCCACATCCGGGGGGACGGCAGGTCTGCTGATACCCTGCCGGCCCCTTTGTGCGTTCTGTCCTTGTCGCGTGTGCCCTGGCCTCGTGCGCCCTCACAGTGGTCCCGCCGGGCAGCAGTGACACCAGTGACACCGGCCCTGGGTACCTGGTCGCGCACATTGTCAGACAGCTGCTGAGGCCAAGTCGGGCATCCAGGAGCTCAGCGGGGGATGGGTGGGGACAGGAGCCGCTGGACCGTCAGCAGCTGGAGCACAGGACTCAGGAGATGGTGGCGTCCCGGTCCCGCTGTGCGGCCTTGGATGAGCCCTGCCCCCTGGAACCACATTGCTCTGGCCTGCAGAGTGCTGGCACCCCTCCCCTGCACTGGTAGGGCTGGTGAGAACAGAAAAGGCAGCCCGCTGGTCCAGCGCCTATGGGCCCTTTCTGTCCCCACCCTGTCCCTAGGCTTGACTAGGCTGCACTGGGGGAGGTGGGGTGCTGCCCATCTCCTCCTCAGGATAGGCCTGTGGACCCCTGTCTTGGGGTGTCAGGCTCTCGCCTCCGTCCCCAACCCACGTGGGCAGCCCCACCACTGTGCCCACTGCCACCACTGCCACCACTGTGATGACTTTTTTTGTTTGTTTTTTTGTTTTTTGAGACAGGGTCTCAATTTGTAGCCTAGGCTGGCCTTGACCTCATTGTGTATCCCAGGTTGGCCTCAAACTCCCGGCGGTCCTCCTGCCTCGGCCTGCTGAGTGCCGGGATGACCCCCAAGGGACAGGCGTGCGCCACCACCCTGGCCTCACGATGGCTTTTTAATAGCTTTGCTCTGAGAATGAGCGAGCACTGGTTTATCTGCCTCTTAACTGAAACCGCTGCTTTCCTAAAAGAGCAACGGGTGCTGCTCCCTCCCTCCTGTCCTCTCCCGCTGCCACAGGAGGAGGCAGAGCCATGAGTCCCCGGCCCTTTCCCTCCTGGCCTCACGGGTCACTCCTTCTCTGCAAAAACAGCAGGGAGACCCAGGCCTAGCAGAGAGAGAGAGGATGTTGTCAGTCATGTACCTTCTTCTAGAATAGCTGCAATGACAGAGAGCTCAGTAGCTTCCAAGGTTTATTTCCGGTGGGTGTTGAGACTGAGTCTCATTCTGTAGTTCAGGCTGGCCTTGAACTCACTGTGTAGCCCAAGCTGGGCGATCCTCCTGCCTCAGCCTCTGAGCGCTGGGGTCACAGGTGTGCGCCACCACACCCGGCTCCCTGTGAACACTGGTTTCAGTTACAAGCCACTGTACTCCCTCTGTGGCCTTGGGGCAGCGAGGGACGTTGGGGGGGGAAGGTGGGGGCTTCTGCCGTCATTTGTGAGCCTGGAGAAAATCCATGACTGATACCGGGGGGAGGGTCGGTGATCAGCATTTGTCCTGTGCGCCCCTGGCTCGAGGCTGCTGTCTCTACTGAGGCCAGCAGAGGTGAAAGTGGGTGCAGTGCACCCCACCCCTCACTCCGGCCTGAACCCCAGCCCTAAGCCCAACGCCGCCTGCAGCCCGGTCCCTGCCCTGTGCTGCAGGTGAGTAGCCTTGCTCTCCGCAAGGGCTTCTTCTGTGACGGGCCCTACCCTTCCTCTCCAGCCCCGCTCCTCCGGAGATGGAGACCACTCCCTGTGGCCGGGTGGGGTGCACAGTGTGTCCACAGTGCCAGGAGACCAACCGGCCTTGCTTTCTCTGAGCCATTGCGTCCTGGCTCCTCCTTCCAGAACAGTGCGTGGCCTATGTGTAGTCACGGAGTCGCTCAACAATTGATGTGCGCCTACTGTGTGCCAGGCAAAGTGGAGATGTCAAAGGCAATGAAACGCAGTGTGGCAGGGATCACGTTGCCCCCCTGTCTTTACCATCTCCTGTTCCTGCTACTGGAATTCCTAGTACTTTTATTTGGTACCAGGAATCGAACTCAGGACCTTGTACTTGCCAGGCAGGCACTTATGCCACTGAGCTATATCCCCGGCTGCTGCTGCTAAAATTCGAAGACACAAAACAAAACACCACCCAGCAAACCTGGCCCCTGACCCTTTCGTGGCTGCAGCACAATCCCTGTTATGCTTTATTTTGTTGATCTCGACATCCTACATTACCAAGCATGGAGTAAGTGTGTACTGGTTGTTTGTTGAGTGACTACATGACCACACACCTGCCACTTAGGGAGCTAGATTATTGCCTTTGTTTTGCCTCTGGGGCAACTGAGGTCTGGAAAGGTAGACTGACTTTTCAAGGTCACACTTCTGGGGCATGGCTGAGGTGAGATTTGCGCTTTGACCTGCTGTGCCCTTGACTGCTTGCTGTTTGGTCACCGGTCTGTGTAAGTGACATGTGACACTTGCCTTCAGTGCCTGCACTGGGTGACCGGGACCTTGTGTGGCTGTTGGCCACCAAGTGTCGCGCATTCCTTGCCGTGGGGAGGCGGGAAGGGACCCAGTACCCTCACCCGCCGCGCCCCTCCTCCTCAGCTTCCGGTCCGTCCTGCAGCCGGGGACGTGGTGTGGTGACAGGTGCCGAGCTGCTGAGATGACAGCGTGCTCATCCCCCGTAATTACTGTCTGATGAGACACCAGAATTAGCCTCTGCGCAAGCACGGGAAGCGGGTGCAGACGCCGGGGCGCAGTGCGGGAGGTCCAGGGGAGGGAGAGGTGAGGGAGCAGGTGGACGGGCCCTGGGCGGCCTGCGACCCCAGGGCAGGAGGAGAGATGGTTCAGGCCTCCACCCACTGTGAAGGGGGAGTGGGCTCACACTCTGGCTCCTGTTGAGGAAGGAGGGGCCCGTGAGCGCCTCGGGCCAGGTAGGTAGTGAGCTTCCCATTCCTGGAGGTATCCAAGTCCCAGTTGGCTGCCGTTGGTGGACAGGGAGGACCTGCAGTTTGCCTCCACACAGCCTGGAGCCGTGGGAGGCTTTATACCCGGCAGATGTGGAAGGGAGCTGTCAGGGTGCCTCCAAGACTCCCTGCCCCAGCCCAGGGGCTCTGCCTGACTCGGGAGGACCTGGTGGTAGAATCTGCATCTGTCCGGGGGCAGCAGGTGCAAGGGAAGATGGGGATGCAGGCCGGGAGCCCTCAGAGTTGAGATCAGGCCCCTCCCTTTATCCACCCGACCGGGAAGGTTGCCTCTTCCTGAGCCTCAGGCTCCCCCTTGAACATGGGGAGACAAGGTGCCTGGAGTATCAGGTGCTCAGGGCTGCGAGGCCCCTGGTGGGCCGTGGGGACTGCGCTGACCATGCGGGGGGCCTCAGAGGTGGCATTGCCAGCAGCCGGGGGACAGCTGGGGCCTCCTGCCCAGTGCGCCCCTCCTTCCTCCTCCCCTGCGCTCCGGGGCCCCCATGACACTGACCCTGGTGTCCCCGGGAAGAGAAGATTGCGGGGTGCAGACGCGGCTGTTTGCTGGCTGCAGGGGTGGAGTGATCAACCCGGGTGAGGGCCAGGAGCCCGGCAGCCCTGTCTGCCCCCGGCAGCAATGGGAAGCTGGGGTGACCCCTTTCCCCCCACCAGGGGCAGCGCCCCAGCAGGGACCTTGCACCTGCACAGGTGGAGCCGGGTCCCACAGCAGAGCCGCCGCAGCGACATCCCCTTGTCGGTTAGGTGTGGGTCTCAGCGGGGTGGCCTGGGGGTCACAGGCCATTCCCTGGGAAGACCCCAGCGGGGAGCGCCCAGGGAGCCGCCTCCAGGGAGGCACAGCTGGGCGTGGAGGGGCAAAGGGGCCCCCGGCGTCTCCCACCCAGAGCTGGAGGAGCCCTGAGCCGGCGCTGTGTGGGCACAGCGTGCAGTCTGTCCAGGAGGCGGCTGCGATAGCAGGGCAGCGACCTTGGCCCTGGCCTGTGTCCCCTGCATGCTGGTGGAGGGTGCCGCTGAGCTGGCCGAGACCGGACCAGCAGAGGCGCGAGAAGCAGGTGCCTGGGCTGCTGCGCTTGTTAGGAGCCGGGTCCCTCTCGGGGCTGAGGGAGCTGTCTCCGTGCTTTGGTCATGGGGCTGGAATGGGGCCTGGCCCAGAAGGGTGGAGCCTCCGAGAACACAGAAGGGTCTGGGCATGGCCTGGTCTTCTGCCCGGTATTTGTTTTGTTTTGTTTTGTTTTGTTTTTGTCTTTTTATGCAGTTCAGGCTGGCCCTGAGCTCACTTTGTAGCCCAGGCTGTTGTCGAACTCTCAAGGATCTTCCTGCCTCAGCCTCCCGGGTGCTGGGACTACAGGCATGCGCCTTTACTCGGCTATGCCCAACATGTATGAGGCCCTTGATGAATACCCAGTGTGGATACTGCTTTCCTGGTGACCACAGGGTGACTGATTCCTGAGGCTTCTCCCCCATCCCTGCCAGCAGACAGGTCTCCCCTGGGAATGGGCTGCCCCCCTCTAGCCATGCCTCTGCCAGACCCAGCTTTCGG